TTTTTATGTAATTTTACAATTTTAGAATTTCATTAGATTAAATAATTAAAAATTTTATTTTTTATATCTGAAAAAGACCTTTACCGAATTTATTATAAAAAATATAATATTTAATATTAAACTAAATAATTATTAAAAAATATATTTGTTAAAAAAATTAAATAAATAGTATAGTATAGAATTTTAAATAAACTTAAATTAATAGAATATTTAGAATTAATAAAATTAAAAAAATTAATTAGATTAATAAAGTAATTAAGATTATTAATATTAAAAAAATAAATTAAATTAACAGAATAATTAAAATTATTAAAATTAAAAAATTAATTAAATTAAATATAAAAATTTATATTATAATATATACAGTTTGAACAGAACTATAATTATATATTTTTATATATATTTTTTATTATAAAAATAATAATTTTATAAAAAATTAGAATTTATTAGTACTACTAGAAATCTCTTATTATTAATAAAGAATAAAGATAAAGAAAATAATAATATTTTATTTAATTAATTTTATTTAATTTAAAAGGCTTTTTTTTGTATATTTTTAAATAAAAGTTAAAATAGTTAGATTAATAATTTGTTAATCTAAAAATATTTTAACTATATTTAAGCTAAAAAGAATATAATAAATAGATTTTAGTATTAAAAATAAATAAAATAATTAACTATTTAATTTTTAGCTATATTATAGTTAGATATAGAAATTTTCTTAATCTGATTATAATCTAGTAATTAAATATAAAAATTCTAATTAATCTGATCTGATCTAGCTGTTAGCCACTCTAGTTTTATTTATAATTTTTTAACTAATATTCTCAGATATTTAAAACCGAATATAATATTAGAACGAAAAAGAATTTTTTTAAAAAAAAATAAAAAATTAATAATTTGAATATTTTGATTTATTAATAAAATTACAGCAATCTGTTAGTATTTTAATTAATACTAAGAAAATATAGAATAAATACTATATATATATATCTTAAAATAAACAAATAGATATAAAAATAATGGAAAAATATAAGTTTTTTAATATAAATAAGTAATACTAATAGTATTAAGAATATTAAGAAAGATGTATAAAATATATTTATATTATTAATATTATTATTAAAAAATAATAATATTTTTAAAGTAAAATAATATTAAATTATAATAATTATATTTAAATTAAAACTAGTTTTAATCAAATTCTACTAACTATTACTGTATCTATTAAACAGATTACCTTATTTATTGAAGTAGTATTATTATACCTCTTTTTTCAATATTAAAAACAGCTGTATATATAAAAAAGTCTAATTATTATAGATAATCTGCGGAAGTATAGTAGAATAGCAGTAGTTTATTTATATATTTTTCTTATAAAAATTATAATATTAATAATTTTTAGTTTTTTAGTATTTAACTCTTAAGATCTTACTAAATCTTCGGGGTAATAAAATTTAGTTATGAAATAAATAGACTGCTGCTATTCTATATCCAACTGACCTATTTTCTTTTAAAGTATTATATTTTATTTATATTAATAGTATAGAATATATATTTTCTTATCTGTCTGTATTTAGTAATTATTATTAATATAATTTACTCAGACTGCTGCAAATACAGATCTCTATATATTAAACAAAAGATTCATTTATTAACAGGTGGAAGGATTTCGATTCAAGGTCGGAGGCGGGAGAGATGGTTTGACAGTTATTTTCCAGAACCGTTAGGTTAGCTTACCTCTTAACGTACTGTCATTCCCTCTTGGCCGCCAATTACCAAGATTAGTTAGTCACTTTCAAACCCGCTGACTGATGAGCTGGCTCTAGAAAGAGCAACGTACATCTGGCCCTCCTCAAAGCTCTTGCTGAGATCAACAGTCACCTTATTTAATGTCATTTCCTGGCTCCCGTGGACTGAGATCGCCCAGGCTGCTAGCAACGGGATCTAAGTCCGCGAAAGTAAGCTTCAGGGCTTCTTATTGCCAATCTTGTTGATCTAATAGAAAACGATAATAGTCCGCTTAAAACTATTTTTAAAAAGAACAATCGGCCATTCCTTTCTAGTAGCCTTTTGCATGAGCGCCCGGATATTTTGCTCTCAATGCATTCTATGTTCGGTACCATGAAAGGCAATCACCACGTCCTGTTTATTGTGTTGATAGATGTGGTGGTAGTTAGTAGTAGACAATCTGTATAGCCTCACCGCCGCCCTAAAGACTGAATATAAGGCTTTATGAAAGCTTGTAGAGGAAGATGTTTATAAGACTTGTTAAAGATGATATATCCCTAATAGGATAGTGCTAAGAAATTAGTTCAAAGAACGAGGGCTCATGACGTGTTGGAGGCGAGGGAGAACCTAGGAAGATGAATGATGTATGAAACTATCTACGTAGAGCTATTCGAGAGGAACTAGCTAAGGCTATTAAAATGGGCAGTGATCTGGCAGCCTCAGGCCGCAAGTTCATTAGAGTTGACTTTTTGTGATCTTCTTTCCGAATTTAGGGGTTGATGATCCCAGTTTTTTGCAAGGTGGGGTACGTGGTGGCCGTGTAATTTGGGCCCCGGAGGCTCTTCGGATTCTTGCTATTTAGCACTTGTGGGGCAGTTGTTTGTAGAACGTAGACGTCGTACCCGAGAGAGCGGTTGAGGAAATATGGAACAGCGTCACGATTCTAATACGCGTTAAATGCTTAGTGGTATGAGAATTGTGAATTGCGTTGAGGTTAGTTTCAGGTTGTGCCCGGTGGTTATGTTGATATTGTTACGATACCGTACACACGCTAATAAGCGCCTGAGTGCTTATTCAAAGCGATAGAAGGAACATTCCAACGAAATATCCCAACAGAGTACATACATGGTACAAGACTTGACATACTGAATGCAGATATATGGTAGAACATTCACAGCCTCTTTATTTCCTCGAGGATGTACATATATGGGTTGAAGGGGGCCAAGGCGGAACAGAAATCGCGTTACTAAGTGGATCTGTTGCCATATTCGGACTGGTGGCGTGGTGTGTAAAATATGCGATGTCGCGACACCGCGACATGGACTCCGCTCCGTATGATGATCGTGTGGGCCTACCCGTAACATAAAGACTTAACGCTCAGCCTCTTGATGTAATTCAAATAATTCAAATATCAATAGCAACCCTAAAATCTATTGGCGAAAAAAGTGTCTTGTTCAACATTCACCAGACCTGAATGATGCTGTGATCGAAAAATTGCACTGTCGGAACTTAGCACCCCGTGACCGGAGACAGATCGATCGTTGCAAAGTCATCTTTGAGTTAGCTCCAACTAGTGATCCGGAAGCTTAGCCTTAGTCTGTCTCGATTGGCTGACGCGGAAGATTTGATCCTTCATCGGTCTCAGGACGTGTGCGTGCGATGGGCGCGATGGTTGGGTGGGAACCTACTACTACTGAAGGAATCGCTCCAGGATTCCGGTTTTAGTCGCAGCCTGCCATAAGTTTCTATCACGCCGGGCCACCTATCAAAACCGGATTTAGGGCTCGGGAACCTCCGAATATAACCTAGTGTGTGGTACAGTACTATCCGGGAGCTTGTATTATGCAAGGGAGACATAAGTGATATATAGAGAGAGCGAGAAACACAACCTTGAAGTCTTCTAACACCGACAGGGCGGGCCGCCTAGGTTAATCATTCAAGTCTTACTTACTACGAAAGACTTTAATGGCCACTCTGCAAAAACAGATTTTACCGGCAGAACAATAAGATTAGGACAATTATACCTTTTTGATAAAATCCCAACAATCCTAAAAAAAAAGAATAATAATAAGTATTTTATAATCTAGAATCTAATATGATATAATCCTGTATGTAATTTTTAGAAAGCAGCGTGGTAGTAGTTATAGGGAGTCTTATAGGCGGTTACTGCTGCGGTAGAGATACTATTAGATAATAAGAACTTGTTTTTACAGAGGTGGCTATCAAAGTCTTCTATACTTTTACTAAAAGGCCTCGTAAGCTAATCCTCCAACTTCAATCCGAGCATGCTTGGTGTTATTCTTCTAATTTTCCAAGCCCCAGCTAAGCTCCACTATTTCTGATTCGTGACCGGCTAGTCCATAATCCCGGCTAATAATTTCTCTCACCCGGCTGGCCCTTTGAGTTCCAGGGCAAAACCAAACTCCGTTGTATAGGGCGCTGGAAAGTACGAGCAGCAAGCACCCCTGCAGCTATTTCCTCTACGAGATTAGCCAGATTTCTCAGGGATTCAGGCGTCCTGTTCATTCAGCTCTGGAGAAGTTTGTCGTCGTCGTCGTCGTCCTCCTCCTCCTCCTCCTCCTCCTCCTCCTCCTCAACCACTGCCACCCAAAGGGGGGGGAGAAGTGTGGAGTCGGCCATGAGGGTGGTGGTTTGATGCCTGGATTCCCGGATTCCCGGATGCCCGGCCGCCCGACCATGTCGATCCATCGCCGTCACTCCTTGGCGAATTGGATTCCATCTGGGACGAGACGCACTTTCCGCATGGCCTTCCTTCGTGTTTGGGGGCCGATTCAGAATCCAGCAGGCTGCTGGCGTTGCAAACGGATCTCCACCCGTGACAGCCTCGTCGGTTCGCCGTCCTCTGGATGATGCGATGGACTGGGCCTTATGTAATCTGTAAGACGGGGTTCGTCGCCACGTGGAAAGGCCCAGCACCCGATCTTAAATAGTAGATCATCGACCGGAAATAGGAACGCGAGGAGGAAAATAGGCAGAGAGATTATGCACGACCGCTGTTGTACGACGATTCCGTGACTTGTCGTCTGTCTGTCTGTCTGTTTGATTGGTTGCCTGCATGCCGCGAGACCCTGCTCTCTATGCACTATCCATGAAGATCACTCCCATTCCCGTCGGTGTCGTGGGGGAGAATTGGGCCAACATCCACGATCCAGTGGAGCGTCGGAGGGCCCAGAATCGCATTGCTCAACGAGGGTATCGTCGACGTGAGTATCTACCAAGCCTGGAATGGGGGGTAGTCGAGACCGGAGAGTTTGCTAAATCATCGAGTGTGTCTTGAGCAGGTTTACGAAAGGGAGAAGAGAGAAACACTGCGCAAGCCAGTGCAGCCACGCTGCCTTCTCCTCCCCAGCAACAGCATGATCAGGTCCTCCCTCCACCACCATTATCATTACCACCGCCACTACAATCATATAGCCTCCACCCACCCACCCCGCCTACGTTACCCTCCGATGTATCTCCATACACCTCCCCAGCGGACCCTCTCATGTTCACCGGAGAGCCCTGGGACCCGCCCCTCAGTCTGGACGTGCTATTCCCAGATCCGGTGGCGTACTCAGCCTACCCCTCCCCGCTGGCCCTGCCTCTGCCGGACCTGCTCCACGAACCCACCCCCGGGTTGACTCCGGAACCCACGTCCAGCGGAAGCCCGACCCTGACCTCCACCACCGAAGGGAGGAGCGGCCCTGCACATGGACACACAGCTCTGCATCGTGCCGCGCTCCACGGCCATGAGTCGGTGTTAGCGGTGCTGCTACGGGCCGGGGGCGATCCCTCCCTGCCTGACAGCGCCGGATGGACGCCGCTACACCTAGCCGCGCGGCAGGGCCACACCAGGGTGGTGCAGCTGTTGCTGACGAGTGACGTTCATCACCGGGGGGCCGTGAATCGGACCACCCGACGTGGAGAGACTGCCTTCCATCTAGCCGTGCAGGCCCGGCAGCACGCCGTGGTGCGCGTCTTACTCGAGCATCCCGCCAGCTACTACTCGGTCAATGCGCAGGACTGCTGGGGTCGCACCCCGCTGCATCTGGCGTGTGAATCAAACCAGCAGGAGCTGGTGGAGATGCTGATTCTGGCGGGTGCTCAACTAGACATTCGTGATTTCGAGGATCAGACGCCCTTACATAGTGCTTGTCTCGGTGGCAGCCACTGATGGCTTTGCCGTACAGTCTTGCATTTTCTTTTTCTTCTTCTTTTTTCTTTCTTTCTTTCATTCGGGTATCGTCTGCGCTTTTGGGGGTGGTGTATTCTGGCTGGATTGGAATTTGGCGTTGGGGCTGGTAAGGGCTGTCGGGGCTTTCTTGGGATACCAACTTTACATCTTTGATTATTTTGTATATATATTCATACTGATAGATATATATATATATATGCACCAGAGGATAGCTGCTAGAGGGTTGCCATCACATAGGAAAGTCATAATTATTTCAATCTTGAACATGATGCAGTGGGGAATCAGGTAGAAAGAACACCGGTCACGGCGCTAAGAATATTCAGAAAATGGGAAAAAAAGAATTGAAAAAAAGAAAGAAAGACATAAGAAAAGAAGGTCACCGTTCCTTATCCGGACAAACTCCCTACATCCGCACCCTGTCCGGATAAGCATGCGTGATCCCTTCCTCCAACTGCGCATCGTCCGACTGCTCCGTCAAATGATATTCGGAGACTCGGTGGTTGCGCTTCCGACTCGACGACCGACGGCGGTTGCTGCGCTTCCGCTCCTTGGCCTCCTCCTTGGCCTTCAGCTTTCTGCGCCTCTTCTCCACGCGCGACAGCTTGATCTTCTTGGGAAACTCGCTGTCGTCCCCCTGGAGGTAACGACCGGGGTGCCAGACGTTCCAGATGACCATCGCGGCGAACATGGGCAGACACTCCAGACAGTAGAAGGGCGCCTCGTTGACGGTCAGCGGACTGCTGCCGGCCGTGTTGGTGTCGGCGAATTCGGCGAGACGGTAGATGATGCGGATTGTGATGCACGACAGACTGGCGTACATGGCGAACACGAGCGCCTGCCACCGCTGTCGGTCGCCCATCATGTCCTGACGCCCGTGGCCCTGGCGCATGCGCCGGTGGAAGGCGATGAGGAGGCCGATGAAGCAGACGATGAAGAACTGTTGCACCGCGATACCCGCCGTGTACACGTGCAGGCCGATCTTGTCCATTTCGTTGCTGAAGTCGGAGTCCATGATACCACCGGTCGCTTGGACGATGAAGGAGCTAATGGTACATCTGGTGAGTTTTTTCTTCTTTTGACTGACTGACAGATTGAGAGATTTGGGGAAGGCGGCTCACCTCACATCCAGCCAGATGAAGATCTTGGCCAGCTTCTCCGCGCGAATCCCGGCGACTTTTTTCTCGGGGAGGAAGTAGTAGACCATCCGACCGAAGATCATGTAGATGTAGGCGTTAATCCACAGCGGGGCCAGCAGCACCAGCAATTGGCCGGCAGACGCCGTTGTTGACTCGGTCTGGTTGATGGTCGAGTACGTGCGCATGATCAACCCCAGACATTCCCACACCGTGCCGACCACGATCACCCAGCAGAATTTCTTGCGGTAGACGATCGCTTGCACCAGATGGGCGATCCAGGTCAGTCCGAAGAGGACGGAGAAGAATACCGCCGCGGGACCATTGGCACAATAGCTGTATTGGGCATTGTCGCTGGAGAGATCTATGGATTTTTTTGTTCATCAGTTAGGGTCATTTTGGTTGTGCTGCTTACTGAATCCAAGAAAACGAAACCGAATGAATGGGCGAAGTAAGAAACTTACCGCAGTGACTCGGCCAGCCCATGGTGCGGTCTTGGTCTTGGTCTTGGGTTTGGATTCAATTGGATTCAAACAAGAAAACGAGATAAAATATGACTCTAGAGAAAGCCTGAAGAGAAGAGAAAGATAGAGAGGGCCGGGATTCTCAAAGAAAAGAAAAAAAAAAACAAGAAACGAAACTCAAAGAACAGCAAAAGCCTGACGCTGGCAGCAGCGTTTTATCATCTCATCCAATCTGATTCCAGGCACCCAATCTCACCCAATCTCGCGGATGATCGACAATCGAGCCAGGATTCACAAGTCCAAGGGCTCGTCCAAAATTAGCAAATAACGCTGCCTGATCCTCAAAGGATCGTTTCAGCCTTCTAGACGAGCAAATATGCAAGCTCATCCTTTGCCGCTCATTTCATGCAAGGTGAGCCACTTAGGGCTTACATCGGCCCCGCTTGATAGCCTGGTCGCAACAGGCTAACCAAACACTAAAATATACGAGCTGGTCCCGGCGCACCTCTTTTTCTTGGGGAATATATGAAGATACTACTCTGGAGACTCAAAAAGGCAAATAGAGCCATCACATTGGCGCTGGAGTGGAGAAGTGGCTGGGCTTGATTTTTAAAATTTTAAACTGTTCTGCCTGGGTTGCCCCTGATGGTAGCCTTTGATTCCACCATGTTGATCTCAACCACCACATTATCAACCACTTCATTAACCGACTCGTCGACATCGTCGTCGGGTTGGTCGACACCCGAACATCTGTCCACGTCGGCGTCGGCGACAAATCCGCTGGCAGGGCAGATCCTCACCATCAGTTACGGCACCTTTACACATTCCCTCTCCGTCACCACCGCTTTCTTCCCTGCTGCTCTTCAACTCCGCGATGATTTTCTCCACCACCTGCAGACGGCCGACGAGCCGGTCACATTGTCGTCCCTAGTGGAGTTCTGGGCGCGCTTCCTCGGCTTCACCGTGCATCGGTTGGAGCAAGCCCCCCGGGGATTGACCGATGACCTCCGCCACCTCCTCACCATCGCCCTGGAGACGTTCGACCGGGATATTCTGCAGCAACGCGAGGTGCATGGGGTGGTCTACAACCTCGAAGATACCTCGGAAACCACCCAGTCGACGATTCTGGCCGCGTATGTCCGAGCCCGGCATGCCTTGCGGCGCCTGAGTCGAGCCGCCACCCCTCCCTCCGCGCTGCTGACGGCGGCACAGGAGCGCAAGGCACGACTGTATGCGGTGTTTGGCGGCCAAGGCAACGATGAGCACTATTTTGAGGAACTGCGCACACTCTGGCAGACCTATCGGCCCCTGGTCGAGGAGTTGATTATTCCCGCCTCGAGCCTGCTGCAGCGCGAGAGTATGGGGGGCGGCAGCAGTCGTTTCTACCACAACGGGCTGGATGCCCTCAGCTGGCTGGAGCATCCCGAGCGCACGCCGGCGTCTGCCTATCTCATCGGGGCCCCGATCAGTATGCCTCTGATTGGGTTGCTGCAGCTGGCCTGGTATCGAGTGGTCGGCCGGGTGGCCGGGGTGACGCCTGCGCAGCTGCAGACGGCCCTGGCCGGCACGACCGGTCATTCCCAGGGCATTCTCCCGGCCACGGTGATTGCGGTCGCGCAGTCCTGGACTCAGTTCGATGCCCTGGCGCTGGATGCCCTGCGCGTGTTACTCGCCATTGGCGCCTGCAGTCAAGACCAGTTCGCGGTGGCGCAACTACCACCGGCCATCGTGGCCAACGCCGAGGCCCACGGGGAGGGCTTCCCCGGCCCCATGCTGAGTGTTGCCGACTTTCCAGTGGCGCAAGTGCGCAGCTACGTGGCCGACGTCAACGCGCATCTCCCGGAGGACGCCCGCATCGAAATCGCGCTCATCAACGGACCCCACAATATCGTCCTGGCCGGACCCCCGCTGTCGCTGCACGGATTCAACGTCTGGCTGCGGGCAGTGAAGGCGCCCGCCTCGGGGGTGCAACATCGCATCCCGTTCAGTCAACGCCGCCCGGAGATCCGTAACCGGTTCCTCCCCATCACGGCGGCCTTCCACAGCAGCTATCTGGCGGAAGTCGTGCCTGAAGTGCTGGCGCGAGTGCCCGGCCTGACCATCAGCGGCGAACAACTGCGCATTCCCGTGTACTGCACCCGCACCGGATTGGATCTGCGCACTCGGGGGGCCGCGAATCTCGTCCCCGAGCTTGTGGCTATGATCACCGAGCAGCCTCTCGTCTGGCCCAAGGCGACGCAGTTCCCCGGGGCCACGCACATTCTGGCCTTTGGTCCGGAGGGCAGCGCCGGCATCGGCTCCCTGACGAACCGGCTGAAGGAAGGGACGGGAGTCCGCACGATCCTGGCCAGCGGCGGTCATCATTCGCACAGTGCCCGGGCGGAACAATTGGGGGATCGGAGTGAGATCTTCGATTGGAACCCGGCCCCGCGGGGTCTCATCTACGGACCGGTCTGGCGGGATCGCTATCGGCCGCGCCTGGTGCAGGTCACCGGCGGGGGCGGCGTGCTGGTCGACACGAAGCTCAGTCGCCTGCTGGGACTGCCTCCGGTGATGGTCGGTGGGATGACACCCACGACCGCTGCGTGGGACTTCTGTGCGGCCATCATGCGCGCCGGCTACCACGTCGAACTCGCCCTGGGGGGCTTCTACAACGCCACGGCGCTGCAGACCGCCATCCAGAAGCTGGTGGCCGCCGTCCCCGCCGGACGGGGCATCACCTGCAACATGATTTACGCGGCTCCCCATGCCGTGAAGTGGCAGATTCCGCTGTTGGCGAAGCTGCGCGCGGCGGGGGTACCGATTGAGGGATTGACCATCGGGGCCGGCGTGCCCTCGCTTGAGGTGGCCACCCGATATATCGAAGATCTCGGCCTGCGCCACCTGGGATTCAAGCCCGGTGCGCTGCCCGCCATTCACCAGGTATTGGAGATTGCACGCGCGCATCCCAACTTCCCTATCATCCTGCAGTGGACCGGTGGTCGCGGGGGTGGCCATCACTCCTTCGAGGACTTCCACCAGCCCATCCTGCAGGCCTACGACGCGATCCGTCGTTGCGAGAACGTGATTCTCGTGGCCGGCAGTGGCTTTGGAACCGCCGACGAGACCTTCCCGTATCTCACCGGTGACTGGGCGCGCTGCTACAACCGGCCTCCCATGCCCTTTGATGGCATCCTCCTGGGAAGTCGTCTGATGACCGCCCGAGAGGCCCACACCAGCCCCGCGGCCAAGCGTGCCATCGCGGCAGCCCCGGGCGTCGAGCACGAGGGCGACTGGGAGCAGAGCTACACGCGCGCCGCAGGCGGCATCCTGACCGTCACGTCGGAGATGGGCGAGCCCATCCACAAGCTGGCCACGCGCGGCGTGCAGCTGTGGGCCGAGT